CCCACACCCACACCGACACCCACACCCACACCCATGCCCACACCCACATGGACCATCTCTTAAAAATACATCCATCAAGCATAAAGCTTTATAAGACTTTAAACAAATCAGATTAAGTGAACTAGTAGGAAAGAAATGCAAAAATTCAGGGAAAGGCAAAACTTATAAACTCAAAATTCTGTAAATAGTTCTAAGTGTGTCTAGGCATGATAGTAGAATTGCTTCGGTAAAAATTCGAGAGATCCGAACGAGAAAAAAGCTATTATAATGCTCTGTGTATAATTTTGCTTAGCAATAGTATTACATTACAATGCGTTGAAATTATTTTTTTCGGGTGACTCTTAATATATCAAATGTAGTACTGAAGCATGTCTTAACTAACCATATCGCAGATTCATCTCAAAATTTCACATCAAGTGAGCTAAACAATTGTTAACAGATTCTTTTGATAGGAACTGATCTATGTGAGTAATTCTTCGGAGCAATATTGAACTATTTCAAAAAATTTTGATATATTACTGGACATTTGACGTCGAAAACAAGACAATGTGGCTTTTGTTGCCAGAAACAAAAGTTTTTAAATAGTTTATTTCTGAGAAATATTTTCAAGGATCAATTCATTTTAAAGGGCATGAGTGTTGGGTAAGAGTCGATCAATACCAACATCCCCACTCCCACCAACACGCACATCCACACACACCGATACCCATACCGATATCCACACTCACACTTACGACGTTAGTTCAGAAAAAGAATGACATGAGCAAACCATTTCCCTTCTTATTTCTTTACATTGTTAGAACGTGACATTTTTATCACCTGCTCTTTTCTCATTTTCTATATTTTAAAGAGAAAAGGATGCGTTATATGAAGCACCCTGCTGCTTTTACACATCTTGCATGACAAGATAATCTTCAGGTGTAGAGAACGAAGGGTCTAGATCACTACGACGAGCTGTCGATCGATAGTTTGGCCATTTCTGGATCTCTTCATAGAACACTTTTCCTGGACAAGCAGTGTTATTGAGATCTCTGCAAATATCAACGGCAAACTATTAAATGTATGTGTGTTTATGAATAAAGAAAGGGATTTTAATACTTATGTCCTCGAAGAAGATAATCGCTTTTGATATAGCCTCTTGAAACACCACATTTGATCAACTGTTTGACGGCGTTCAAGGCTGCATCATTTGGTAAACGATTAGTATAATCACCAACGACCGAAATGCCTAGAATGTACTATGGTGTAAAAAAAAATGAGAGAAATGCAATCTATTGATACCGATTGATTTCGAGTTGTAATTTAAAGTCTGGGCACCGACTTGCTGCCATCCTCGACCTTCCTATACATTACCATCTTCACCCACCAGAAAATTGTATCCAATGTCATCCCATTCTAGAAGAGGCAGCATATAAAAGTCAACTTGTTTCACATGTGGCTCGCTCACTCACTTTGTGAATCCATATGATAATTTTGAATTCTCTTCATTCTAGCCATACATTCTGCCTTGGTTGTACAATTAGCGGCTGTGGTGTGATGAATGACGATAATAGATACAGGCGTCGTTAACTTAACATTAACGGTAGCTGATCGAGCTCCCCATTCAGCACGACTAATTATGTTGGGACAAGCTATTTCAATAGATAAGAACATGTGAGAAATTTGAACATTTAGTACCTTTGTAATAGTTTTACCAGTTAACGTGCCCGAGAAACAACATTTAATGTCAATCGGTTTGCTTTCACATAAGTTCGACACATAAAGTGCATTGGGACAGTCTGACGTTTTGATACATTGGCCAGTCTTGCCATATGTCGGATGTGTGTATGATTCACATGAATCACCTTTAACAAAAGAAAATTCATCATTCTACGTAGTAGTAGAACTTTTCAATTTGTGTTTGTGTAACCTGCTATTGGTTTGCAAAGAAGAGTGACAACAAGAAACAAAAGCAGCATCATTTCGTTCTTATTTTATCGAACCGATTGAGTGAATGGCTGAATACTTGCTTCATATAAAAGTCGAATGCGATAGCTCTAAAGATCAGAAAATTGAAATAGGCTTATACGCTGAATATATGAAATTCGATAGTCAAAATTTTGATGAAATCATTATTAACATCAATTGCGCTCTAAGTCATCCAGTTCTGAAATCATTTTTTAAACGAAATTCGCACGCAAGTCAAATCAATATACCTTTACATGGCTTGGGTGTGGGTGTGGGGTTGGAATGTCACTTCATTAAGACCCACAGTCACACCCTACACCCACACCCACTCACATCCGCACGCACACCCACACTCATACCCACACCCACACCCATTCTGATGATTCTTTTACAAAAACAAGTGTAAGTACAAAGAAATATTTGCAGTTTCATTTTATTATAACCATACGAAAAGGGAATCTTCATCTATCGTGTTAGGAACTTCCGTTCGAAAAGAACGAGTATTTGAATTCTGCATATCACGCAATTGTTTCTCATAAAGTTTACCACAATTATATTCACCACTAATAGTAAGAAAATATAATTTCGAAAGACCGTTGATAAGTATGTGTGACATTTCAGTGACTTGCCAGTTAATAATCTCTAGTTCTATAACTTGCAAGTGAGATAGTCGCTCGACGATTAACACATTCGAGGCGATGTGGCCCACCGGTGGACCACGCTACACAGGATTGGTAAAAATATCATTCCAGGGAGTAACACTATTATTTCAAATAGCTAACACAACTAATTTTATACCAAATGAAACTCCATTTAGCGCGCTTTAAACTGGTATAAAATTAGTTGTAATAGCTATTTGAAATGATAGTGATACTCCCTTGAATAATACTTTTACCCACACTATANCCAGGTAAAAAAAGCCAGAAAGAGAAAGAATGAGATGAATTAAAGAGTGACATAGGGTACCAATGTAAGAAGCTAAATCTATTCCATAAACTCGAGTCAGTTGAAGGTAAAAAGTAACATTCACATGATTGAAGATTCATAGGAAAGAGAAACCGAGAGATGTTCCTCGCCGATGTTCGCTCATCGTTATCGTCACTATTGTCCAAACATCTACCAAAAACTATTTGTCGAGAATGTCCCAATGCTTGAGAGAACCATAGATTGAGAAAACATTCGTTATCTATAACACACGATCACCAGCAACAACAGGCAAGGGACACACACAGAATATCTGACAGTTGATCAATATGCAAAAAGATCTGATGTAATACCTCGCACGAAAATTCCTTCATTTGCCTTCGACTGTTTGTTCATTCAATACAATCTTGTCTAATGAACATTAACACAAATATATATATAATGACATTTTATTTGTTGATATTCTGTCGACATTGTACGCCCGTTGCTCCTCCGGCCATTCACTCAACAATGGACGTCGACACAACACTATAAGTGAGCATTGTTTAAAATGTTATTCGGAACAGCATGCCCACCGCGAGAACAGATTAGCTGAATTATAGTGGATACTGAAATTCTACAAGTAATAGTAGAAAAAACTAACCTAGGCGTATAATTGATTTTTTGTTCACTAGACTGAAAGGTTAGAGTCTGTGAATGGTAAAAAAAGATTGAATAAGAAACACAACATAGAACTTCATTTTAAGAGAATCTTTGACAACAATCTTGTTCGATGCGAATGATTTATTATCTGTTAGTAGCCTTGTCCAAGTACTTGATTTTTGACAAAATATCGATCTTCAGTTAGATGAATAGTTTGTCTTGTCGATGTTTCCAGAAGAACTCTTAAATATTGATAGTCTGATAAAAAATAAAACAATGAGAAAGTTAAATACTCAAATCACCATCTCACATTGAGAACCATAACCAAGCAGTCACTGGGATGAGGGTGTGGGTGTGCCGTAGATGACGAGACGATGAACATCTACACCCAAAAACGACAAAATTGTATAGCTGTTATAAATCTTCGTAGACTTAGTACACAAACTATGCTCAATTGATCATTGAATCAGTATCAAAAGATGTATTTCAAAGAGCACTGCAGATTTAGACATATCACTGCCGAGTAGGTTCTTATTTTGTCGGTCGAATTAGTATAGATAAGTAGAGATTTTGCTGAACCAAATTTTCATCTCACAGCAAGTGAGAGTTTTATTCGTTTTTCTAATTCAAATGAAAGTGTGGTCAAGTCGAACTCCGTCATTCTAAGTTAATCTTGTTAGAAATGAAAAAAAGATGATTTGTCAATAGGTCTTATCAGCCATCTGATATTTGTCCTCATGGAAACACTATAATAATACAAAAGAAGAAAGCATTAAATACTATCATGAACATTGTGCTATTATACATGAACAAGATATATATAAAGATTGTCCGTTTCCATTAAATCATCGTCATTTCTCATAAAATAAGAACAAAAACAACATAATTTTGTCTTTTTTTTTTTGTTATTTTTTTTTCTCAGCAGTTAAGTTTCTTTTTCTTATTGTATTTCATATTTAAGCGTTTTTGGTATTAAACGGATGTATATATATAGTATTTGTTCTTCACTATACAGACATATAATCGAATTAAAGTAATGTTATTTAGATTAAATACACGACTCAAAACAAAACAAAAAAACTGGTAGGAGACTTTTGACGTTGACAATCATATCAAATCGATGATCAATATGAAAGATTATATTTTTTTTAAATAATTTAGAGTAAGTAAATACAAAATGAGTAAGTCAGTAACAGATATTTCATCTGTTTTTGATTAGACATTAAAATCTGTTTGTGCAATATATATAAATCTATAAAAATGTTCGAAATAGAAAATAAAATAAATCTAAAAACTCAAGATGGGTATCTTTGATGCAACATCTCTCGCTCTTACAACAACAATTTTACAAGAAATAAATTTAGTTGTACTGACAATTTCTTCTTTGATTTATTTATTTACAATATTATTAAATAATACCCTTTGTTCAAATAGAATAAATTTCTTAACAATAAATGTTTGTTTATCAACAATAACTTATGCTATTTATTGGAGTTTATTCATAATGTTAACATTTTTACCAAATTATTTTCAAATGTCTAGTAAAGGTAATACTTGTACTGTTTTATGATACTTTCAAGTGGCAGTTAATAATCAAGTCATTTATTCTTATGCTATTGTTGCTATTAATCGATTTATTTCAATTCTTTATTATCGTAAACATTTTTTAGGTCATTAAAATCGATATTTCTTTGTATTACTTTGCAATGGATTATTGAATTTTTAGTGCCCATGCCACAAATATATCAAAATCATCTTGTAAGTTTACGTATTTTTTCTCAAATAAAACAACATATAAGCGACCATTTCTTAGTGACGGAGCCAGAAGAAGGCTTGGGGGATCAGCTTTTCTTGATGGCTTTAAGCATCTCTAAATACACACAAACAATGGAACTCCGCTCAAAAAGACACTAGAGGTCTTGCGAATGGTCTCTGCTCACTCTATAGATAAAGTCAGAGGATTGAGTTGATCCAACAAATTTTTTCTGGTTACGTCATCATTGTTTTCACTAAAAATTAGTGAATTAGTCAAAAATTCCTTCGATATTTTGTCAAGTAATTGCTTTGAAAAATTCTTTGTAAAAAATTTTTCAAGCAATCAGATTAAAACAAGAACGACAATAAAAGACCATTAAGAAAAGGAAACATCAATTTACATGGATTACTATCATCATAGTAGAGACAAAAAATGGCCATGTTTTATTTGACTATATACGGAGATCATATACCAGGGTAGAGAAATATACGATTTTAATAGCGAATCATGTCAAACATCAAGCTAAACACATTATGAACGTATTTATAGATTCTTTATTTTTCATTATATGTAAACTTCAGCAATTAATTATTTCAACAAATTAAATTGGCATTGATCATTTCAAAAGAAAAACTACTAAAAAATAATTGTCTTAGAAATTTAGTCGTATTCCTTAAAAAATTCCAGTGTGCTCAGAAGATAAAGAAAATCGTTGAATCTCGCAAAGGTGACATCAAAGTGCAAGTCAAAACGGTAACATCGTCAGTTAGGACTCTTTGCTTTGTATTTTAATAGTAAACTTACTCAAAACATTTTTCGTTTAGGAAAAGAAAGTTTTTTTCTGGATAAGACAAGATAGTTAAATTTAATGTCATGACAAGATTAATTGTCAATCCTAAGCAGCACATATGAAATTTAATACAAACATCAAAATGAAAAGAAAAAAAAAGAAACGATATTCTAAAATGAAAGACGATGAACTTATTTGAAAAATTCATCTTTATTTTGGAAAGTTTTTTCATGAATGTAATTATATAATCAATTAAAAATCTTTTTACATGATAAATCCAATAAAACTTAAAAATAATTTCAACGATTTTAGGTTTGTCTTGGTGCCGATCGTAGTATATTTATAAACAGTTATACATTCATAACACTTGTTCTATGTCCATTAATACTTATGTGTTCAAGTAATATAAGTGTTTTCATTTTGGCTGTAAGACCCCGTGTTCGAATAAATACAAATCAAAATCAAATTGAAACAATGAGCAGAGTTTTATGTCAAACTAACGCTCACATTCGAGTACAGACGAATTCATTTGAATTACTTGATGATAATCAAACTGAAGAAAGAATAGATAGAATTGATTTCAAACGTGTTTCGAAACGTGATATAAAAATTTTATTAAATATGGGATTAATGCTTGGAATATTTCTCCTTGGATGGACATCAGTTTATTTTTTACTGGTAATTGCTCCATCATCTCTTTCAAATCGATCTTTTCTTTTATATATTCTTGGTTCTTTTCCATCATATTCTCTTCTTTTAAATATCATTTTACTTTATCGTTATAATCATCCTTTAAGAAAACATATTATTATGAAATTTACAAATAAATATAGACAATTCGTTCAAATGCTCCAATGAACTCGATAGTTGCTTTTATTTATTTTTTTAACATGAATAACTTTAACTAAAATGAATATACTTTTTAAAATCTTTTCTGTTTATTTTTGTATTTGTAATTATTTTCTTAAATGAAAACTATTTTCGATCGAACACTACGGAACTTCAACGGTTATAGTTTCACTTAGCTGTGAAAGCACCGTAGCCTGTAGCTGTTTACACGCTGTAAAGATACTCTATTTGCTTTACATTATTAAAATGTTTATAATTCACAATTAGCTATACCGTATAATGGCACACTATCGACAGTTCTTACTGACACTTCTGGGGCACTTTCAAGCTGGAGGATGTGGGTGTGGGTGTTTATATTCTCTCCACTTACAGCCCCACCTCACACTCTACACTCCAAATATGGGTTTCTCTTGACTAAAAAACTTACTTTTTCATCCTTGCCTCGCCGTTTATCGCTTTCAGGTTGTCGAAAGTAGTGTCGCAAGTGTTTGCGAAGATACTTGCGTGATAATGCTTGTCAAACTCATTCATGGTCATTCTTTCGATTTCAGAAATGAAATGTTTATCGACTCTTTATTGCTCACGAATAGTTCCTCAACAGATCGAGGAATATTCACTTTTATTTGAACTAACTTTCGAATTCAATGTCAGTTTAAATATGTCTTTTATATGTTTTGATGTAATGAAATCATGGAAGATTTTATCTATAGTAGATTTCATTTTTTTTTTGAGAATCACAACTACTAGTAATATGGATTTCATCTATTGGGACTCAGAATCTGTTTTCTCTTCCACTAGCTGTTCATCATAATTTGAGTTACAAAAAAAAAGATATACGACAAAGTGCATCAGTTCAATTGAAACGCAAGTTTTTTGTACTTAATTGGAATAAGTCAGAAAGGAAAAATGACGCCTCTCTCGGTAACGTAAATACCCAATAATAGGGAAGCTAAAAAGATCTAATTAGACAAGAAAAAAAAATGTTGTCCGAGCGACGCTAAAAATTTTAGCTTTGTGAGGTACAATGAGTGTTTTTGAACGAACTGAAAAGCGAGTATAAAAATCGACTAAAAGTCGTTATTTTGATTCAAAAAAACGTTAAAATTCGATAAAGCTGTCTGCTTGGATAAGAATGAATAAAATCTTAGTATATAATTTGGTATATTACAACATAAAAAGTAAACAAATTTTCTAGTTGTTTATCCAAATATTGAATAAGATGTTAAAGAATAGGCGAAAAAAAATCATTCTGTAAGTTATACATTCATTCACTGTCAATTCGGATAAAAAAAATGCATCTTTGTTTTGATTGATAAAGTCTGTTAAATAAAGCACAACAATATGCCTATATATATATGTATATAGACAATCATGAGTGGAACAAAATAGATACATTAGATATAGATATCGTCAACCACGGAATATTCAAGTGCTCAATTGAATGATTTACTCGATGAAATTCTTATGATTATTTTTAACAAAATGCACAATACCGAAGTACTCTACTCCTTACTAGATGTTAATAAACGATGTAATCAATTGGTACATGATTCTTATTTTACAAATCGCTTGAATTTGCTACGATTTTTTACAGAGTCGTTTAATTATGCCAAAATCCTTATCAAGGTATTTTATTTATTCATTATCTGATACAATACTTGATCGATTTTGATTAAGAATTTTACCTGCAATTTATCATTAAGTCAAATGGCTTAATCTTGAATCGTTTTCAATGAAACGTATTCTTCGTGCTACAAATTATCCTAATTTATATGAACTTAGTTTATGTAATATTGAAGGGCAAAGTGTTATAGATCTTTTTTCTGGTAAGATATTTGACTTCGATTCTTTCAATGATAAATAATTACATTAAAATTATATGTCAACTGAATTCATCTGAATCAATTTATGATATCATGAATTAGATCATTCCACTTTTTAATAACTTTTTGAGCAGATAGATCTCCATGAGTAAAGCAAAAGTTGCCATAGACTCAAAATTACCAGATACTTTCTTGCAGAAGATATGAAGTCATAAAAGACCAAAAATGGCTAAAAGTTTGCATCTCACAAAGCTATACTTTATTTCGTGGAGCTTCAATTTTTATGGCAACTAGGATCAAATTGGGACGCGTGTGTTCCTTTCTTGCAAAATCATCGTTCCTAAAGCTCAACAAACAAAAATTGAAAGCACCGTCAAAACGCCTGACTTTTTGCAATGATACTAATTTTTTGAATGCTGCCAAATTTCGTAGGAACCACATTTTGAATAAAAAACAAATACGTATCCTGATTTGACCAAAGTATTCAGAACGAATTTGGCTCCGATTGGATATACTGTGTGCAAGAAAAGGAAAAAAACTTCATCTTTTTTATTCAAAATCTGATTTTGCGAAAAACGCAACTAAAGTAAAATTTTGTTTTTGTCACGTTGTGTCTTTTTTCTCTTTTTCTCATTTTAAATTATCATTAATTGCGCATCAAATATGGATATAAAGAGATTCTTCTGAGAAAAATTCATAGGATTAATCAACAAGAAAAAACTTACAAGTTTGCCACCTAAAAAAGCCTAAGCTTTTACTTCAAAATAAAGCTTCTACGAGCTTGACATAGTTTTGATTCTTACTCCACTTGATAGAAAACATTTCGATAGATCTTTAGAAATGCAAACCTTGAAATTGAAGAAAAAAGTTTTTGAATAAGGAAAGGAGAGAAATCCCGTTAAAACAATTTTCGATTTAAATTCATATTTATTTATCAATATCCATGAGAAGAAAGCTGCTCTCAAAGCGATCGTTTGAAATTGAACATAAACGATTACATATTAGAGAAAAATACTAAAATAAAAAGCCTCGATATTATCTTTAACTTGAATTTTAAATATAAATTTTTAGAAAAGAAAATTTAGAAAAAATGGATGATGATAATTGATAATGAAATATAATCTATTGTTTAGTTCTAACGAAGAAGAACATCTAATATATAAATTATAGGGTTATTAGCAAAGGAACAATTGAATAAACACTCAGATTTCAACAACAGTATAAGATCTAATAAAATATTTTTTTCTTTTGATTGCTTAGATGAAACTCTTTTTACTTGTACCTTGAAAAATCGAATTTCATCACTTGTAATCGGTATTAGTGGAAATGAAGCTCGAAGGTCAACACGAGAAGTGAATGCACTTTTATTTATGCATGTATGTAATACTTTCACTAATATACGATATATAGATTTTAGTCCATCTTCAATTTGGTATCAACGATTAATATTTTTTGGTATTTCACTTCCAACTGTGGTCTCTTCAACTCTGTTAGAATTACATGCTTATTTGGATACTTTTACTGATTGTCTCTATTTACTCGATGAACAATTCAATCAACTTCATACTCTTGATGTTAATATTGATGTCATTTTGTCTTCGCGTTTCACAAACAATAATCAATAATCAAGTATACTATTTTGATTAGTATTTAATTTATTCAAAAAAACTATCTGTTCTCTTTTCAAGGAAAAATTACTTAATCTAACGTCCTTTTTGCTGTATTGAAATAGTAGTACAAGTGTTTATGATGATATTGATTATACTACTTTTATATAGAATGTCGAATTTAGAATAACTTAATTTGTTTCTTGCAGTAGTTTGGGTCAAGAAAACGTTTGTTGATGGTACTGATTTGAAGAGAAATATTATTAATCATATGTCACGATTGAACAAATTTACATTTAATATTTGTTCATTCAGTCGTTTTTATAATGAAATTGATTTACCATCGAATGAAGATTTCCAAAAAAACATTCCAAGATTTTCAGGGCAATCAAATTATTTCTTCTGTTGACTATTTTTGAACAGCCGTAAATAGTCAATGGCATGTTTATTCATATCCATATGCATTGGAACATTACGATAATATTAGAAACAAGTAACGCAGTGCAAACGCTACTAATCATTCTACTAAAAGCATGAGTCGCATCGAAGGTAGGATATTAGAAGTACTAGATATTGGAAATAATTCGTTGGCAGCACGTTAAGGAGCGGAATGGAACGAACCATTATTCTTCAAGAGTTGGAAATGTAGATTCGAGTGTGGATATGGACGGAGATGTTGTTGTTCAGTTTAATCACATTCACACTAATATGCACACTCACAGCAACACTCACATCCCGTTTGATATTTATTTAGCACGATGCAGATTATTGAATAATAGTTCATCGATGTAAATTCCGAAGGATGTATTAAAGAAATATAGTGGATCAAAAAAAAACGTCTTGCACAGTTGTTAGATGAAGAAGAAGAACGACAAAATAGTCGTCTTCCATCGATCAGTCCTTGACCATCAACGTTATACGAGGAAATTAAGAGACTGCAATGTACATGAAGCAAAACTGAATTTATCTTAAAACGACATCTGTATTTCAACCTTTGCCATATTCTTTCAAGAATACTACATCCGTCGAGGAATGCCAACCAAACAGTTGACGACCAAGTCTTTAGGTAACGACGGAATTTCCACGTGTTATTGAGGCTGATAGAGAACCGCTAAACTTCTACCTACGTCCTCCACAATGAAGTTTAATTTATCGAAAGGGCGACATTATTTTTCTTAGTGCTTACGAAGCCAATTAGTTATTAGGTCGCTTAAGTGGTCATTTCCGGAAGAGCAACTTTGATTGCTCATTGGACACAATACTACGCTTATTTCTACCATGTACTCGACAAAATCAATCAATTTTTGTTAATACAATAACTCTCACGACTCCTCCATCAATTGTGTCCTCGAGCAAGCTGACAGCTTTTGCAATATCAGAAGAATGTTTAGCTGAATTATTTGTTTTTAATGGTACTTTGTATTTTGAAACTGTTGACAAACAAGTGGCTTATTGCTAATTTTTAGGCATTTGTCTAAAGCTTCGAATATCGTTTGAAGAAATTGCTTTTGAAAAAGGTTGGATTGACGGTGATGGATTCGTAAGAAAAATACAACATCGTCACAATTTACAATTGAATCGATGTCGTTTTACTTCAAGTCCACTGCATCTTATAATACAATTGCTTGAAATATAAATAATTCGCACGCATGTCTTATGTCGCATGTTGCAAGTCTTATTCTCAATACTATGAAACTATTTTAACATCATTTGAACCTATGTTATTTTGAATATTTCTATAGAAAAATAATATACTAGTACAGAATGTGGCAAACAAATCAAATTGACATTTCATATGCATAAATGAAACGATCAAAATCTATATCATTCTTGAAATAAAATAAAGAGGTATATAAAAAACTGTCTTCATTGTTTTTGGTGAATCCAATATCTGTTTCGGTGTAGCTCCTATTTGAGTGTGGGTATTTTTCGAGCAATAAACATTTCCACATCTACACCAACATTTATCTCAAAATAGGTAATTAAAGCTTTTTATGGAGAATAATTTGTTTACAGTTCAACTCATCATTAAAGGTAAAGTATTGGTTACGATAGAATGAAAAACATTTTTCGATAGTTTTCGATGACTCAATGTGCAAAACAGCTATGATATCATTTTTGGTTGTTTAACGAACAGAAAAAGAAACAGAACCATTGGTTATTCACGAAATCTATGATCATTGTTATATTCACATTGTCTTGAGGTTTTCAACTTTGATGTGTTTGTCTAGGTAATCTTCATTTATGAGGAACGTGCTAGAAGCTATTTATCTTCAATAGGTAGTTACACAATTTTTAAATAAATCTAAAGCAAGAGAACGAAAGTGATCAAACAAAAAAAGGTTGCCATTGAGTGGAGTTGAAGCGCTTACGCCCGAATCACAAGTGGAAGTGATATCGTTTCACCACAGTGGCCTTGTAACATAGAATGAGAGAACTTCAACTAATGTTTGATCCCAAATAAAAGTATAGCAGAAATTTTTTATTTAGTAAAACACTCAAAATTTCTATCACAAATTAACGTTTTTAGTATTTTAATCTGCGACTCATTATTTTGGGGTTCATCTCAAAACTTGTTAAAGTCTTTTATCGATATTACGTTGTCTATGTAAATCGCTAAAAGATATTTGCAATATTCGCAACAATTATTCAATCAAGTGCAGCATCAAAACTGATCAACAAGAACACATTTCAACCATTAACTTTTGTCAAACGCGTCATCCTGGGTTCTCAAGATTATTCAAGGGCCAAGTCGAATTAAGTTGCTCATTTAGACCGTGTTGAGAATTTTCGAGCAATGTTGTCAAAATAACAATTGTTACTCGATACTTTCTAGTTGAAACAACATACAGTAGGTGTAACGGAGAAAATGATATATAATCGGAACCGAGAGATATAACATGACGCAGAACGTTCGAACAACACCGAATCGTAATGATTTATTCAATAATGAATCCAGAAAACAAATAAGCAGCACTATGCTCCTAATGACTATACACATGTTCAATTCGCAGCAAAAATACACACAATACTTCTATCCATACATACACCATTTCTGTGTCTTCTATCTCTCGACTCGACCCAATTCTATCCCTTTTTAGTTATCTAACAAGGGAAAATTCTAGCGAAAAAAGCGATACAGAGAGCGATAGAGGCAAAGAAGAGAGAGAGAGAAAAAGATACAGAAAAAGATTATGTGTTGCTCAAACGGGAACAAGGGATGTAGTACAAAAGGACAACCATTATCTGATGTCAGCTCAATTACCCTTGTCAAGTTACGATATTGTGCTCATTGACACAATTGTATACAGAAATAATGTAAAATCGAATCATTTCGTCAGTGTTTTACTTAAAAAACTAAGCGATATAAATATAATATTGTCTTGGAAAAATTTGCTCAACGTAAATTATTTTGACACTCAATATGTCAATGTCCATCTAAATTTGAAATATATTTTGATAGAGAAGATCATTAAGATGTTGTTTCATAAGAATATTTAGATAAACTGGTTTTCATCATTCTATTATTATTAGAAGAGAATAATTGTTATTATACTATTTGTGTCATAAAAACACTTCTTATTCCATTCCGATTTTTTAAAACTCATTTACGTAAAGAACTCTGCATCTTTAACGAAGAAGATTGATTCTACCTATCAGGTATCAAAAGAGGAATCAAGTGTGTACTCAATGGATCATTATTTTAATCTAGTGATTATCTTTACAATTGATAGGAGACTTCATTGTTAAGTCAATTACTTTCAAGTTGTTTTAAGCTTATAAAAACGTTCGAGATATATATGCAAAAAAATAATCGTAGATCTCATTGAAACTATTAAGTTTCTGTCTTTATTTTGTATTATGTGAAGAAAATGAAGTTTAACAAGTCTTAGCGCAGTTTTTTTATGTAAAATAATTTAAACATCATGAAAAAATTATATATAATGACTTTAGTATAATTTTGATAGTAAATCATGATTATGCATTCACTGATTACACTTTTATGTACACACATATGATTCATATCTTTTCTTCATTTAAAGAGGCGATTAATTCAATAAGAATACATACTACTAGAGTTTCATTCAAAACAAGCACACATTCATTGTGATATTGTGTAATGATGAAGGTCATTACTTTTCTGCTAACTTTTCTTGTTGTTCATAGTACTGCTAACAATGGTAAAGGTAAGTCAATATTCTAATAATAAATATCTATTTATCATCTTTGATAATATTAGAATTTTCTTCCTTCGTCAGTCTGGTGAGTCCTAAAGTTGTTCCATATTCACTTGGTATATTTCATTTCAATACTGTTGAACAAGTTAAGTTTTCACTTAACACTATATTTCCAACTACAGCACGAAAGGTTAGCGTGACTGTCTTTATTCGAAGTGGAATGAATTCTGGTGAAGCTGCTTTTAATGTTTGGTTATGGACTGAATGTCCTGAATTAGGTATTAGAGATACAAAATTTAAACGTGGCTATCGTTACTATCAAAGTGCTTATTCATTTGATTCGGAAACACTCGAATTTTTTTATTGTTCATCGAAACCTGATCTTAATGTCATTACAGATAATCAAGAAAGCAATGTATACCTTGAACTATACGCTATAGGTTATACTACAGTTTAAGAACTTATTGAAAAAAAAACTCCTTTTATTTCAATAAATATAATTAGTGGCCTGACAACACAAGCTGTTTAAGGCTAATTTTATTTTTGTTTTTACATTATCTATTATAAAATTGGCAGATTATTTGAAAACCAGCATAAATTTAAGAATGACCGTATAAATTATCCAAAAGTCAATATAATTGATACTCTGTATGCGATCGATAAGAACGCCCTCTTAAAAAAGCTTCTCTCATTTCAGAACAAATAAATAGGATCTGAATTGCTAGCTTTGTTGTTGACTTCCTTCAATATCAACATTTTCACAACATTTAATGGGTATTTGTTTGAAAATTTTAACTTTACCATATACATATTTTGTTGGTAATTGTGCTATTTCAGCATGACACATTGCCATGAATACATAGGCATTCTTGTGTGTGTTATTTTTGGTAGTTTGGAACTGAAGTCTGTTGTTAGAATTACAGTTGCTTCTCAACATTAATTTCATCAAGTTGATTTTTGAGATTTTATCTCGTACCATTTTGGAAAAAATATAAACCAAGGTACTCTGATTGAAAAATACAGCTGTTTACAGTAAAATACGTCACATCAACGGGTCATTTTTCCACATGAATACAGGATGAAGAATACGGCAACGTTACGACATTTTAAAATGAGAATACAGTATCGTTTGTGACTAGTAGTACTGGACACGTGATAACGATAGCAGACAATTTAAAAACGGTCGTTCACAGTAACGTTACGACAATGGACGGTGATGTGTAATGATTGATTTGAGTACATGTACGTTTAGTGTATTGTACTGCCGGATGAGGTGGATGAGTGAGTCGTGTCTGTCCCCAAATGCACACCGTCATACCGTTCCCACCAACAAGTCATTTGTTTAAGACCATCGCAATGATGAACCTGGGCGTTCCAAGACGATAATTACAGTCGTCAAGACGGTCGAAAAAAGCTGTAAATTCACGTTTTGGTAGGCACAGTGTTACGGCCGTATTGTATAGTGTCGTACACAACTGACAACGATGGACAAATAGTCTGAAAATCGAGTATCGAACCATTTACAATACAGTAAAATACGTTCGGAATACTGTGCCTATCAAACGGTGAAAAACAGCCCTCTAAAAATGGCTGCGCTTATTTAACATGGTGTACTATATAGATATAGCGTGAAATTGAACCAATTTTTCTTATTATGAATATATCAATAATGCGAGCATAATTCAAGAACTGTAATCAACTTGCGCTGACAGTAAGTAGTGTTTAGATCAGTATAGCCACGTAAATAGAGTCGAAAGTTTATTTTATTATGCTATTAGTTTAGTGAAACGTCAGGAAAAGAATCTTCCTTTTCTATTTATAATACTCTTGACTATGTCGTTTATTATTTAAAAGTCAACAGTGCTGTATTTTTTTTGTTCTTTCTCATGCTGTTAAATGAAATATTATGTGAAGCCGAGTACAAATTTCAGTTCATGTTGTTGTGTAGAATAATCAATGGTAGTTATTGATCTCATTGAATGTAGAGTAACTAAGAGTCTTACTCAAAATCTGCAATAGACTCCTCCTTGAACTATTCATTTCTACGAAAAGTTCTCAGGCGTACACTCATCTCGTGTGAACTATCGTTTTACCTTCAAGGCATTAGTTTTTGCGTGAAGATACGTTAGATCATCTAGTGAAGGTTGTGGATGCTGATATCATTGCAACATCCACCAACACCCACACCACATGAGAAAAGATAGAAGAAACATTGACAATATTAATAGTGCAATTTTTTATGTATCACCTGTTAGATAGAAATAACCGACTGTCGTTTAAGTAACATAATCATGCATGACGGCTATACAATATGAAAATGCAGTTTTTATATATTTTGTAATCCCTTGAAGAAAATTATTCACTGAATAAAACAATAAATGAAATAATTAACAAGACGACCACTCAACCAAGATGTTATTTAACAACATAGCGGTCTTGATTAGTTCGTTCGAAAATGTTCAGAAGAATCCATTGACAACCATATATCTGAAATTAGATGTACAAAAATACTTCTAAATCAAATCCCAATAGACAATATGTTAGTTTTTGGAAATAAAATATTAATAAGAAGCAAACTTATAATAAAAACTACAACAAAAATGCATAAATTTTAATCACCGCTAAATTTATTCGTCAGTTTGTTTTAGATCTAACGAAATAAGCAGATTAAACATGAAATAAAACAAATTAAATACTCTTACCATTCGTTGTTACTGCTGATCTTAGTTTTGGTTTCGGTTCTTTAGACATTTTAACACGTTCCATAGCATTCATCATCCATTGCATACATCTATTCATCTATAGTAAACAAAAATAAACATAATTTTTTTTTCAAAATATTTTATTTCATCTAACTTCTTCAGTATATGTACGAAGATCTCCAACAGCTCTTTTAATCGATACCATTTCCTCAGTAATTGCTTTAAAATCTATATTTGATGGTGATTGTGAAATATTAATTGTATCTAATGTTGTTGCTGGAACTTCTTGACGTACTACTCTTGATGGTACAAGAGTAGTTGATGATGATGGTTGACCAGAAACCATTCTTCGAGCATAAAGATTTGTTGCATAACTTTCAAATTCAGACCAATCTTTATCTATTTCACTATTAGCAGCAATCATTTCTAGAAAAAAGCATAAAATTGAAATTGTTTCTTTTTCTTTTTCTATTAATTTACTAAATATTTTTGCTCGTCTTTTTTTCATATTTGACCTTCTCCTTTTTGAGCAATGTCGTATCAATAATTTAATAAGTTCAATCAAATGAGTTAGGATAATAAATGGAGGAAAAAGTGGTGGTCGATCAAAATATTCACGAATAAATGAATATCGTTCATAATGCCAAACACGATCAGTTTGACTTTGAACGGATTCAAATGTATAACTAAAACCATATAAATTTATTTCATATCTTAAAAAATAAAATAACACAAACCTAAACATAGCAATAAGAAGATTAATAAGAAGAATATTAACAAATAACATATGAAAAGCTAATAAAATTTGAGTAGCGATAGATGTACTAAGATTTCGATTCCCTATACAAAAGAAAAAAAGAAAGATTTAATTAAAAATTTGTCATCAAAATTAAATTAAACTATACGGTCAAGTGCTTCTAATTCCTTGTCTGTTGATCCATACATAAGATAATAACTCGGATAAAGAATATGTCGAAAAACTGAACGACCATCAAATGTTAAAGTATCATTATCTATATCTTCGTTGTATTTATACATAGCTCGAGAAGTAACACCATATGCAATCATTGCAATTAAAATAATATATGTAAAAAAAATTAAATCGACGAGCTAAAAATACAAAATTAAAACAATAAAATACTGTTTTTTCAACATACCATTTTTCGTATCATAACAAGTTTTGGTCCCATTTTTCGTACAACACCAAGAAAAGCTAATGATCGAATATACCAAATTTCAAGATCATAAGCAAGAATTATTTTAGCAACTGATAATTCTTCATTAGTAGATGCATATGTAAAAAGAAGAATAAGACCAATATAAAAAAGTATATATGATGCAAAACGAAGTAAACTAGCAAATAGATTTTTTATAAAATAATTGGAAAATTTTCCAATTATCGATCGACTATCTTGCCAAATGAACTGTCAAGAAAAGAAAAATATATGAAAAAAAAAATGAATACATATTTCTAATAATTTACATGTCGAATATCTTCCAAAAGCATTGTTGTTACAATAATAATAACTAAAATTTCTGTCCAACGTATACTTGAATTTTCATTTGTTGGAATTTTAAAATCGAATAATAAATAATAAGAAAAGAGTAAGAGTAAAAATATATAACTAGCAGAATTATACAAAAACTTAATAAATGGTGATTCATGAAATTGTTTTAAATGACGAAAATAATTTAAACATCTTCGTGAATAACTATCTGATCGCCATGCATAAATTTCAGAATAATTTATACCATGATCTTTTAATCTAAATACAAATATTCAAGATTGAAATCATATAATTAACAATCCTATCATATATCCAAAAATAAATTAGGGATACAAAAAAAAGCTTTTGAGGTAAAAAATGACAGAATATATAGAGAATAATTTTCGAGAAAAATGAAACTTTTCTTCTTTTTATCAAGTCAAGATGATTATAAGATTGTCACTATGAAACATGGAATATATATAGACTTGCATAGAAAGACTTTCTTTATCTAAAATATGCATGCAGTATCAAGCTGTACTGCATATCGCTGATGACAGTTTTAGAATGGTCAAAAAAAAGTATATGTATAGTAAACATATATAAACGCACAAAAGTTTTTTTCTAGATATAAGGTTCCAAGATCCATACTTTGCTTTTGTAAGATGAACTTCTTCACTATTCGGTCATCTACTTACACTGTAAGTGCAATTAAAAGTGAAGGACATAAGGATCATCTGATAACTACTAGATCAAGTGTGAACATGAGTACTAATAACTATAGGCGAGTTCAAAACAGTAAACAAGGTTTTTGAGTCAAATATAATGTGGATATATGAGAACGATTTCATTTTAATGACAAATGAATAAATACACACCGAAAAGAAAAACTAAATTCTTACCTGAAATATCGTGCATCCTATAGAATGGCTGAAACTTGCATGCCCAGACGAAATCATTTTGGTTATAGTTTTTATTAATATAACCCTTTTACATTGACATGCAAAATTTAGTAAAATTGTGTCTATCTTGCAAATACACATCAATAAAGATTTGATATTTACATGCGAGTTATATATGTTGCATGCATTTATCTGTAAGAATACGAGTTATGCATGTGATATTCTGTTACACTTATGCGCAACAATCGTAAATATGTGAAATAATTTGCATCTTCGTGTATGAGAGATGATAACCTGAAAAATATTCTACAAGTCAACGCAAGTTTCTAAAAATTTTCTACAAATAGACACGTTTGACTGATTAGTAGAACTTGAGAATGGATACATTAGTAGATAGAGAAAGTCTTTATCTACAAGCTTACATATATTCTTTTCTATAGTTGAAAAAGTTATAGTCGATTTTTGTTCAAGAAAAACAAAATTATTAAAGTATTCCGATTGATTACTATGATAATTGAATAATTACCTTTCTTTTATTTTTGATAATAATGGTTTTGTTTCTTGCTCTGTTTCGTTAACACTCCTTTTATTACTTCTTTTTCGATCATTATCAAAATAAATAGGCGCTGATTTGCTTTTACGGAATGAAACAAACAATGGTGCTAATAAACCAAATGTACAAAGACTTAATAATAATCCAATGCGTTGAATTAATGTGAATTGAACCGGTTCTATTTTATCATGCCAAATACTATTCAAAAGTTGATCACAACATGGTTGACCAACAAAATTTTTATCATTGGCATCAACAGCTACCTTAAAATTAAAAAGAAAAGAAAACTGTTTTTCTTTTTGTTTCTTGATTTTAAATCTCACTTGAAGACATGAAACACCACCGAATAGATTAATATGTCGAATAGCAATTTCACATGCTTTTTCTTCATCAANTACCCTTATATCCTTATTTGCTTATTCCCTACTCCGTTATAGATTTGTGGCCCTTGTGGACCTATGGGTACCACAATACAATAGCCCTTGAGGACCTACGGGTACTCGCATGGAATTGCCCTTGAGGACCCAGAGATACCCCCATAGGATAGCCCTTGAGGACCTATGGGCATCACCATATATTGGCTCTAGAGAACCCATGAGTGCCCACATATATCACAGCCCTTACAGCCTTCCCATTATAGCCTTATCTGACCTCTGACCCTTAACCCAACTTCTTACGCAACCGTAGAACCCTTCGCGAATGTTTCAGAAAGTTCTAGAACATTCTGGAAACTTATAGAAGTACACAACATTTTCGAACGTTCTAGAAAATTCTAGAATTCTTAACCTTTCAACTTTGACCTTTGACCCGGCACAGAGAAACACACACTGAACATTATATATATAGATGTGGGGCGCAAATAAATTTTGAATATCTTCAAAAAGAGTTCAAGCCCTTTGTTTATGACTGTGAATACAGTAGTTATTAAATGAATGCTTTGCTTCCTCTCAAGAAGATTAATTTTTTAATTTTGATTTGAAAATTTGTACAGATATAGACTTTAATAAGAGTATTTTTTTTTTGCTTTTATCTTGAAGTAAGAACATCGAATCTACCATTATGTATGCACAGTGTAAATGACATACATGGATCATAGCTGTATCTGTATCTTAATATAGAGACAACAGCAAAATCTGAAATATTTATAAGAAACTATGACTGTCTCTGTGAAAAATTTTAAGTTGAACTTCGAAAATTAGTTTCCTGGTTTTTTTTTAGAAAAACCTAAAAATCGAATCGAATAGGATATCGCTTATTCAAGTTCAGTTCATTTTTGATCTCCGAAGGGTACCACTAGCATGAGCTTAAAAGAGTTTACATAATAAACATAGTCTCGACTAAATAAAAACGAAGAATTTCTTCAAATCAATTATAATGTTTATTAGAGATGTCAAAGTTCCTGTTTCTGAATATTTCAGTGCCAAAAGATAAGAATCCAGCTGAAACTGTATGTTCTAGCTATTTTTCTATATATACCGATGATGTACCGGCAGTAAATTGTCACTGAATAAACTGCGGTGGACTAGTAGTTAGAGAAGACGGTCGATCTTTTGTGATAGCCTTGAATTACATGAAAACTTTCCCTATTTTTTATATGAGAGTACAATGTGTTTCGAGTTGATAGAAACGAATCAGGAAACTTGTCAACCTTTGATTTTTATGTATAAACAAGATCGAGTGATGTGTCTATTGCAATAGCTTGCTACCTGTTTGATTAGTCCTTTACAAAGTGATCCAGTTTCGAGGCCTACGTGATATCATTTATCTCACAGATAAACTTTTAAGTCATAGCTGGTCTAATAGTAAAAATACGTAAAGCTTAATTATTTCTATACAAATAAATGAAATTCTAGAAGAATGTCTTATCTTCTAAATAAAAATACTTACGTGGTGCTGATAATTTGCATAATTCAAGTATATCATGATCAGTAGTAAATTTATTCATTGAATCTCGAATTTTTAATTGATATTGTTGATTATCAAGTCTTGGATCAACTGACAATGTACCTTTACAACCACCATAACGAATTTGTAAAACACTAAAATCATAATGGCTCTTCAAGAATTGTTTTACCTATTGAAATATAATTGAAAAATAAAATATTTATTAAAATAATTGTCATACTTTATTACGAAGTTGTGTTGAAATTGTTCCAACACCATCAGTAAATGTATACGTCTTTGTTGCATCTTTTATATCACGTTGATAAGTGACATTATCTGCAGTAATCTAAACAAAATTGAAATAAAAAAACGTTTTGTTTTTTAAATAAATAAGTAAACTATTCAATACACGGGAATAGTAGAGCCCGTTGGCTTAGTACGAAATTCGGGCTCGACTTAAAGAGTCATACTCTAACAGTAATACCCGATCATGATTTAATTATTACAAGTGTTAGCAGTTGAATATGAAGCGATCATCAGACGAACGAGGAAAATTTCTCAGCCGATTAAATACCTTGAAATCCGGACGAATATGTATCATGTAGGCCCTAATGAACTATGAATATTCTAAAATCAGTTCGAGTCCTCAATTAATTGCTGCTCAGATGCTGCCAGTCCCCGCCTTAACAACACAAGAAAAACTCATTTTCAAATTTTTATTTAAAATTTTGCATAGAGACAAGTAATTGTATCAGACCTTTTGATTTACTTCTTTCTTGAAATAAGAACATATGCTCTGCCAATGCATATGAGCAGTATAGAAGACAAACTTTTATCATAGCTGTATTGTAGGATATGAAAAACGAAATCATCTGAAATTTTCTCAGTAAACTATTCTCATTATATTCTGTCTCTAAGTAAAGTTTCAAATCGAAATTTAAAAATAAATCTTCCTAATGTTCTTGAAGAGACTACGATATTGAATTAAAACATACCGTAAAAATGCAGTATTTAAGTAACAATAAGCTAAAAACTCGAGCTCTTCTTAGAGTATTCACAGCTCATTAGAGTCTACATAATGCACATAGTCACGACTGGAGGTATATGGGTCCAGAAAAGAAAATTTTCTGAGACCGAAACCATAATTCAAGTTTATAGTAAAATATTCTGTTTTTTTTTTTTGAAATTTCTCATATAAATCAAAAAATAATTCAAGAGAGATTATCCAAAACAAAGCAAATCATCCGTTACATAAATATTAAACAATTATTTTATATGTAATAAGAATAAATGCTGAAATAATTTTTTGCAGACTGAAGTCGATAAAATTAGAGTCACAACTCAAAATCAATTAGAAGACTTGCCTTGTTCGACTAGAAAATCTCATTAAAATTATAAGTATCATTTGTATTCGAGCTCGAAAATGTTTGAGCAACTTGTTCTAAGTCCTAAAGTTTTGAACTCTAAGAATCTCGATGTGAATATATAGTTTCTTCTTGTACACGTTCATGATATCAATAAATTTTCTAACCTGAATTGTTGCATCTGTACTTGTAAAACAAAGTGCAATACGTGCCGCATGTTTAGCTACAACACGTTCTTTATCAAAATTTCCCATCCAAATATAAGCATCTTCATGTGAAAGACATTTATTTTCTATATCATGATAATAAAACCAAAATTGTTTACATTTTACTTGACTTTGAGAATGATGTAAATATTTATATCTTCGTTCTGGTGTTAGTTGAAATCCATTTTTTAAATAATCTAATATTTGACTTTTTAATGAACAAAATTGAGTAGAATAAAGTGAATGCTGAGCTTCATCACGTAATTCAACAAGAGCAAAATTTAAACAACCACCAAATCGTTGTTCACGAAGAACACGATTTAATTTACATAATTTTAATGGACGAATTTTTATTGTTGTTGGTGTTATAACAACTGATGGAACATAAGCTGTTGATGTTGTTAATTGATTAAATTTAGGTATTTCAATTTTTTTTTTTTTTAATCGTTCATATTTATCATTATATTCATTAATACCTATTTCAATTTCTTTATCTAAGTCAAGAAAAAAATATTCTGATGATCGACGATGTAAATATAAACATAAACGATAAAAACGATCATCTATCTCCGAAGAATTTGTTTCATTATTTTTTAAACCAGAATATTCTTGTAAATGATTTACAAAATCTTTTGCTGAATTTAATTGAATTTGTACACGAAAACCAATATTACGTAACATAGCCCATGAATATGATTGAATAAATGTTGAAAATCTGTGACCATTAAGTGAACTTAATTGTTCTAATGATACTTTTCGTGATTTTATTGGACCAAAACAAACATGTATACGATTGTTATTAAAAAAATCAAAAAAAGTTCTAAATGTTTCTCGTATTGTTTTTAATGATATATCACGAACTGTTTGTACAAGATAATTTTTTTCATCTAACGGAGTAGTTTTTAATATTTCATTTTGACGTTCAAGATAGTCAATTATTGATTGATCATCTTTAAGTCTTATACGTATGCGAATTGTTGAGAATAAAGGCATGAGTTCTCTATCATATTTTCCTTGACGTATAAATTTACCAAAATCCGTTTTTTCAATAGTTTTAAGTGTTATTCCTCGACAGAATTCATGAACATTTCCTTTCATATTTACTATCAAATCAAATCCATCATTTCGTAAATGAAAAATAGCTGCACGATCAACAATATCAAGTGGTATTTTATATTTTCGTTGAATTGATTGTGTAGATTCATTTGTGTGAATTTCAAAAGCATCATCACGAAAACAAAATACCCATCGAGACTTTTTACGAAATAAATATTCTTTATTAAAACAAAAACGATTCATTGTTGTTAATGCTCCGTAACATAAATCAGCATATATTGCACGATCGAATACAATTGAAATTCCTTTCTTCGAATCATCTTTTTTTGAAATTTTATCACGAAGTATTGAATCGTGAAAATTCGGTATACTTTTAAACATAAACCAAAATGGTCGATTTTCTTCATTATTAATTTCTTCAGGAAAAAGATCCAGAAGACTACATGAAACAGATTTTTGTAATTCTATTGGATAATTATATAAACCAAAACTCCATATGTCATAAATAGATTTTGATGAATTGATATCTATATCAGGTTGTATTTGTTGAAAACGTTTACATGCATGATGATAACCTATTTCATTAGAATCATCTTTATCAATAATAAATGATATTTGACCGAATGTTGCTCGAAAATCGATTAAAGGAGATGATACAGGAGGCAAACGACGTTCATTCTAATATATAAGAAATATTTGATTATTTATTTTAAAATTTGAATTTTATTTTATCAAACGTATTCTATCGATCCCTATATTTTTATAAGTTATCATTTTAAGAAATAACAATATTGAAAAAAGTTTTAATTTCAAATCTGTAAAATACTTTGAATATGAAGTTTTCGTTATAGATCTGAGCTTGACCAAAAAACATTTATCTTCACACAGGAATCGTATTTTCAGTTAAATATTAATATTTTCCTTAACCGTGGTATTCTTGATGTCAAGGTATAATGTAGGTCAATGTTTTTTTTTTTTTCAATAACTTTCGATAGAGACTTAAGGATTTCAATATTTACAAGAACACATTAACAATTATGAATTCAAGTTAAATTTTGTATCAGATGAATTTTGGCTGATGTTCTTAAAAACGGTTTTCTAGGAAACTCTCCAGTTGAAATCTGTGTACAGATGACTTCTTTAATTTTTTACAATTATGAAGAGTTTTTTAGAGATCCAAACTTCAGATTAATCACTTTTAACATCTCAGGCCCAGTTCAAGATAGGACTAATTCATCATATTGAGTCGACTACTGATATTTATTTTCAGTTTTGAAACTAACTAAAATCATTATTTCAAGAATCTTGAAACAATGGTCATGTTTATTAGGGCGAACCAACTCTCATCGAGCGTGTTTTATTATTTGAAAAACGCGTTCTCGACTGTTGTTTTTCATGAGATAACAACAAAAGTTGAGATTTCGAAAATCTTGGCATAATACTTTTGAATAGTTTCGAAACTGACAACAAATTTCAGCAGTAGATTCAGTGTAATGAATTAATTGTGCCTTTACCTCTTTCAGATTTTTCTAAACTCATTAGGATCTTTGGAAAACCTTTCTAGTTCTTGAATAGAACATATTAAAGAAATTAGCCTTGTGTGGATCATATGAGAACGATTGTTTCTATCGAATGATCATAGTACTAATTGAAACTCAACTAGAAACACCCACACCCAACAACGAGTTCACAAGATGCTTTTAACAAGTTCATATAAAAATTACAATTTTTTTGCGCCAGTGTTTCTCTTTTTCTCTCGTGTCATTTCATTTACAAATGTGTGAAAAATATTAATGATATTCTATTCGAAAGAGGAACAAATTTCCTATTAACTGATATAAACAAAAAAAAATACTCTTTTCGAAACGTTTATAGCAAAGAGATATAAGGATCAAGATTTTTGCGCCGTTTTTTCTGAATTTCACGAAAAGTGCGGATTCTTGTTGGGTCGTTTTATTTATAAATGTGTTACAAAAATAAGTTATATTTATACGATTTGAAAGAGCTCTATCGTTTGGTAAAAAAGAAGTTTTCTTTCAGCATCCTTGTATTCAAGAGAAATAGGAGGCCGACATTTTGTGTCATTACTTTTGCATCTCATATTATAACGTTGTTAAAGACGGTATATGAGCTCAATATTTCAGTCCTAATAGAGCTGTACTAACAATTAAATTCTTAAATAATTTTTGTTTTTAGATGTACTTACTTGTACTGTTGGATCTTCCCGTTTTCTATAGTATGAATCCTAAGAAACAATATTTTTAGAAGAACAAAAAAACAAGATGAATAAAATATTAATATTACTGGTAATTTTGCTATTTTTGCAGGTTTGCAATAATAACCATCATCTAGTTCAACATCAAGAATTCGTGGTTCTGATGATTGTTGATTATAGTCCTTAGCAGCTTTTTTTGCACTTCGACCACGTCCAATAGCTGGTGTAGGCTATAGTTAAAGAAATTTATTTCTATATGTATATATCAGCATTTGATTAATATAATATACTAACGCTTAGATTAATTATAGAAGTCTTTTCAACAATTGTTGAAATACTTTTATCAATACCACTATCATAGTCATCTTGTTCTTCATCATCCAATATAATAGATTCTTCAGGTTCATTTGCAGTTTTATTTCTCTGTTCAATTTCACAATTTAATTCTTCATTAAATATTTGATCATCTTCAGAATCTTTAATAAGATCATTATTTTCTTCAATATTTAATTGATCATCAAAACAATCAGATACTATAATATCTTCATATATTAATGTTTCATTTATATCATCAGTTAATGAATCCATATTTTAAATAGAAAAATTTATGTGAAATAATATGAATACAGTATTATTTTACATCTTTTATAGTTCTGTCGTATAAATGATATTGTATTTTGAAACTGGGAAAATTTCCATTACAGAACGAGAATGGTTTTTAATCTTAATCAAATAGTTTAATGCTTTTCTTTCTTTCTTTTTTTTTTTCCATAATAAAATTACCCAGTGGTTCAGCTAGAATCAATTAGCATCTACTATATAGATGTCGTTAGCATTAATAGTGCTCATGCAACCAATGATTAAAATTATCTTTGCTACCCTGATAGCTAAATGTATCTAAGAATAAATCATTCTCAAAGTTTACTTCGTATATCAAAATGACGTAACTTTTAACTAATAATGCCATCAGACAGAGGTTAGAAGAGGGCACGGTTGTGTGCACATAGATGAACATTTGGCTAAAAATGACAATCGTATTTTATCAAAGATTTAAATAACGGGAAATGTATTTCGAAATATAGTCTATCTAATGGTATAGATAAATTTGTTACAATCTTCAAAGAAACTGTTAAAAAAAACATTTGTCTAAAAATCGTGATGCCACTGGGAAAATTGATATTTAACCTGTTCGACAGATAAATCAAGCACACATTTTTTGAATTTCGAAGTCGAACTTTATAAAAATGGGAAAAACTATTTTTCTTTTAATTTATACATTTAATTTCTCAGACAAAAAAAAAAAGAACATTCACAATCAGCACATGAAATTGTGTTGAATAATATATAATACAGAACAATTTTGAAGAAAAAAGATTTCTCGAAAATTTGAAGGCAAGAGCCCTATTCAAGCATATTTCGTCGAATGATTTAGTAGTAATGAGAGAATCTTTTAGAGATCCATAGCTTATATTCTGGACAGATAAAAACTGATATTTTCTCAGATGTGAACTCGAAATGAAATTTTTGATAAAAAAAAAAAAACTTAACAAAATGCCCCTTATCAAAATATCCATTGTTAACAGATGATTTACGAAAGAATCGTTTCATTTGTACTCTATGCATAAGATAGATTTGAGTGAAATAAAAATACTGAAGGTCTAAGAGTACTTTTCATATCTCACTGAACTCTACTTTATACATACAGTGCACGAAATGAAAAATAATTTATCATTTGCAACGATTTCAGAGACGTGGCTAGGAATTTTCGAAGAAGGAGAATGCATAGCAGCAGAAACATAATTTTTGTTTCGCGAAAAATTTTTTCATCCATCACAGGCTTCCACGTTAGAATAAACTAATCATTAGTATATACTATCTTATAAAGAAATATATGCTCTTTCATTCTTTAATTTCCATGCAAGACCCAAAATCTGAAGTTCTAAAACAAAATTTGAACATGCTAGAACGATTCGTTTGTGTACCCACAGATACTCGCAATGAATTGTTTCGAATAATCATTTTATTTAATTCGTTTTCTATCACCCATTGTTCTACATCTGAATTATTTTAATGACAACAAAAATTTTATTTTATAACTACATAAAACAAAGAAATAATAGATTAACTATAAAATTCAAGATCACTATCATCTCGATTAACATCTGTTCTTGGTGTTGTTGATACTGAACTTGCTGATTTAATATTTTTCTTTGATTTATTTGTTATTGATGATGATGATGTATCATCATCATCCATAATACCACCAGATGTTAATTTATTTAACCATGAAGATGATGATGCTGTATTTGTTTTAATAATATGTTGTACAGGTTGTTTTTTATCTGTTGATGTATCATCATCAGAACTTGATTGTTGTATTCCAACAATTTTTTCAAGAATATGTTTTAATAGACTTTTAGCTTTATCATATAAATAAATTGAATTATTTGGTAATAATGTTGGTGCAAATTTATTTGCTAATGTTTGTGAACTCATTATATGTAATTTTAATAAACGTATAAAATGATCAATTAATCGTGTCCATAATGAACGATCTTGTTCAGGTAACATTTTTGTTATTATATCTTTATCTAAATCTTTAATATTTGATGAAAGTATATCTTCTGTTAATAAACATTTATTTATTGTTATACGACGTATTGTTGATGGTAATTGATCAAGTATAACCATAGATGTTGTTGCTGGTTCAAGATCTTTTAATGCATATTGTTGTTGTTCATTAGCTATATCAAGTATTGTACGTTTTTGTGTTATAGTTGGTGGATCATAACGATAGAATTTTTTTTTATCAATTGTATCAATTAATTCTTTTTCAATATAATCAAGTAAAAAATAAAGACCTAAACGATGTAATTCCATTCGTAATGAACCTGAACGTTTTGAACGTGAAAATGTATTTGATGTTGTATCAGATGTTGATTGATCATCGTATTGATGATCTTTTATTTCAGAATTTATAGTAGATAAATTTGTACGATCTAAACCAGTTTTTAATTGATCTTCATAACGTTTATATAATAAAGAAGAATCAATTTTATCTGATTGATGAGTTGTTGGTACTAAATGAAAAGAAATATTTTAGTTTAATATAAAATTAACAATGTGTTATTTACTACTGTGTCGAAGATTTCCATCATTTTGTTGTTGACGTAAACGATCAAAATCATCTATAGTATTATGAACATTTGTATATGCTCCTGTTGATATATTTTTTTGTCGATTAGAATAACTTGATTCTAAATATTGTATATAATCATTTTTTAAACGTATTAATTGTTCCGTATCAATACGTAATTGATTTAAATTATGTTCAGCTTGTGTTAAATCATTCAATAAATTTAAATTACGTTGTTTAGCTCGTTGAGATTCTTCATTAAGTTGTTTAAAATATGATTGAATATGTTCAATTTGTTGTTGTTGTTTTAAACGTGAATCAATACTTGAAAATGAACGTAATTTTTGTTCAAGTTGAATACGTTCTTCTTCACTTTTTAATATTTTTGAACGTAAATTTGCTGTTTTTTTATGATAATCAGCTAATACTGGCGCCATCGATGATGATGATGTCGATGGATTCATCTTAATTTTTGTCTGCTAGCAACAAAAATAGCAACGGCAAAAGAAAAAAGAAAAAGTGCTCATATATATATATATATCTATGTAACGTCGCAAGATAAAGGTAAAACGCTTAGTCATATTCTTACCTTTCTCTTTTCTTTTTTTCTTTTTTTCTTTCTCGTTTCTGTAAGGTTGTCAAGAGAAACCGTTATGTTACTATATCGCTCATATTACTTTAATTTGACAGAGAAAAAAGAAAAACAAAAGTTCATTTATTTTAAGAGATTTGTATATATAAAAATTTCAAAATAAACAAAAGCATAAACAAGCAGCTTACAATGCATTGATCAAACTTTACATTACAATCCTTGAATTTCGTATAACGTAAATGAACGACGATTCGACAAAATTTTTTACTTCTTTTTTTCGATTTTTGTTTGTTTTATTTTTTTTTCTTTTCGAGACAGTCTATATTTGTATATACAGACTGATTTTTGCATTTTTTAGGTGTTTTGTTACATCGATAGCAAGATGGCAAAATTTTTTTCTCGTTTATTCAGTAGTGGTTCATCATTTCGTGGTTCACAAACATCACTATCTGATACTCACAATCAAAGTAAACTATCAAGCAATACCCGTACAGCATCGTCACTTGAAAATCTTGCATCATATCATGTTATATCAAAAGAACTTGAAAAAAATAAATTACATAAAGCAGCATGGGAAGGAAATCTTAAAAAAGTTCAACGTCTTGCACGACCAGGTCAAATTAATGTTAAAGATCAACAAGCGCGTGTATTTAATTATTTTATTTAATTTTCAAATTCTTTTTTATTTTCTAATATATATTTTTTTTTCTTTCTGTCTAGACTCCATTACATTTAGCTGTTGTTAAAGGACATATAGACATAGTCAGATATCTTGTTGATGAAGATGCAAAATTAGATGTTGCTGATAATGAACAACGAACACCATTAATTAAAGCTGTTCTTAGTGGTAATCAAAATATAAAACGAAATTATCAAATATGTGAAATTTTATTAAATGGTGGTGCTGATAAATGTAAGAATTTCAATTTTTTTTTGAAGAATATATATACACATTGACAAATAAATAATGGTAATCTGTATTTTCAATATATCGTCATCTATAAAAAAAAAATTACAAATATAAATCGAGTGTAATTTTAAGGCATTCTAATTATCAGATTCTTAGGAGCTAAACTTTTTTCTTATTGTCGAATGCATCTATAGTGAAATTTTCAGCGAAATCGTACTTGAAAAAAAAACAAATTTTTATCTTACCATCATCTAGAGATTCGGTAAAAAAAAATCTGTACGATTTCGAATTTCCTATTAGGTTGTAAGTGCTTCTTGCTCATTGTTTCTTTTTTTTCATATCCCGTTATATCGATAACGAATGATTTTGTCCATACAATTAGATTTAAACAAAAGATCATTTTGTAATAATGAAAAATTTTTGAAATCTAATTTTAATAACAGCGACAACAATAAGCCTGTAAGAATCTTGTGATGCGAGGATGCCTTCATTAGACTCAATACATTTTTATAGTGCAGAATTGCATATTAAAACATTAAATGCACAAAAGATAATAGACAACTTCAAGAGCTTTCAAAATATGAATTTTTGTTTTTATAGTGATTATATATTTAAAATATAAACGATTACCATTTGTTTACAAGCGTATATATGCATTTTTTGAAACACAATCTAAAAGGAATGTTGACGTATAGGAAGAATAAATATTTGAACTCTCATTCAGAGACCGTCACATACGTTATTAATATATGGTCAAAGACCATATATTAATAACACCTTGTGTTATTCTATCCCAAGTAAATGTACTGATTTCAGGATCCCCAGCTACTAGTATGTCACAGAAATCTTTGGATACTTCATGAGTTTTTAGCACATGACTAAAAAGTGTTCCAGTTTTATAGAATGATGTAAGGACTCGGTAGGTAGCTGGTAAGTGCCCCATGTACTGAGATAATTTTCAGTAGAATGCCCAATCAAGACCGTGTGACATACTGATAGAATACATACATTAGGAATATGAACTACTTACTTCGTTATTGAATTTGCTGAAGGATTCAGTAAAAAAATGGTGAAAAAATGTCTTTCAAAATAAAACAATCTTCCTATGATTAACAACACCAATTAGATTGTGTTTCACATTTTAATTCTGTAAAACTTGAGCTAATAACTCATGTATATATATATATATATGTTTTTTTTCTTATATGAAATTATTTCTAGTTATAAATTCCGTTGATAAACATGGAAGAACTGCTTTACATTATGCAATTGATTTTGCTAATGAACATCTTGTTGGTCTTTTTCTTTCAAATGAAAATTGTGATCCTAATTTCAAAGATCATGATCAAATGACACCATTACATTTAGCAATAAAACGTAATAGTACAGCAATTGTTCAATTACTTTTATCGAATCAACATGAACAACAAGCTGATCCAAATATTATTAATCGTTTTGAACAAACACCATTACATTTAGCAGCTAGTGTTGGTTATGTTGATATTATTCGATTATTACTTGTATCAAATCTTAATGAACCATGTGATCCAACTATTGTTGATTCACAACAATTAACAGCATATGAATTAGCTAAAAATAATCATCATGAAATATGTGCAAAATTAATTGATGAATATCAAGAAAAATGGTTAAAAAAAACACCACGAAGATTATTATCAACATCATTTAATGAACAATCATCACTAAAAGCAACAAATTCAATATCAATGCATCCAAAAGCTAATCTTCAACGTGAAAATGATGCAACAAGTGAAGATTCATCATCAATGTCAACAAATAAACGATCAAAATCTCCACCAAGACGAACACAACGACCAAGTGATCAATGGTCAGATGATACTGGTATTTCAGCAAGTGAAACAAAACCTGTTTCACATGGTTTAACTAATTTAATTAAAAATAATCCATTAAAACCTCATACTATACAAACAAATATAAAAAATAATGAAAATTCTACATTGAATAGTCTTGCTGAAAATAATCCATTACAAATGAATTCAAAACGACCAGCACCTACAGGTAAATTTTAAATTAAACTAATAATCATATCAATAAATATTTAGTTATATTTGCTAGTATCAATAGAATATTTTTATTCATAAAAAAAAAAAAAAAATGTAATAATATTATTCGAATTATATTTTTTTTTCTTATATAGAAAATTCTCAAGAAACTCATTCAACTAAAGTTTATTTTTCGTAGAGTAATTGCATGATGAGTCCATCGAAAAGATAGGAAGGTACCTAAATAAGTTTTTAATCGATTTCATTAACAAATGACGATGGTGGACACTAAATGCTAGAAAACATAACAGTTTTTTTTTTTTTTAAACAATTTGACTTTTAATCCTATCAATTTCATTTATTGACGATTATAAAAAAAAAGAACCTTTTTACAGAAATGACTAACTAGGAAAGCTCTACAAAATTGAATATAAATTTTCTCAGATCTCTGCATTTATTTTAGTTGACTAAAAGTAGATAGTATCCTAGTTTTCAAGTCTATCAATATGTTAATGGTAACACATAGACTATCGACAAATAGATGTCGGTCACTTTAAGTTCCGAAAAATCGAACAATTTTATTGTATTTTAGAGAATGGCGCTTTCATTTAAAAGAGCCTTTGTTCTATTTTTATTGGAAAATTTCCAGCGTGAAATGTCAGAGGTATAGTCGCAGTTAGCATATGTATTAGAAATAAAAATAATGATAATTGAATGTTAACAACTTGGTATTAATTAATTCTAATGCAAATAATATCCAAGCATTAGAAGTTAATATTAATACTAATGCTATTTTGACATCTCTATTCACGAATAAAAATTTACAAGTTTATCATTAGGAAAACAAAATTAGCTCAGCTGGTCAAAATATAGTGGAGATATTTCATTAATTTTTTTTTTTTTGGTAGGCTAATTCCCCCGAACATCATGTATTATAGAATTTGATTAATTTAGAAGTTCATAATCATTTTTATTGCATAATTCAATTATATTTATAAATCAGAGCATAACTATACATTAATCGAATTAAATCATATCATTACTTGTGATGTATTCTATGCTCGAATGTTAATTATCTTTGGTTTTGTTTTTCTTTTAATTAGCTCAACGAACACAATCGTCATCTATCTTTGGTATTCAACCAGCATTCAATCGTAAAGATAGTGATAATACATCAACAAGTATATCAAATGAAAAATTACCTAAACAAGTACAACCAATATTAGAAAAAAAATCTAATATATATGTTAATACATTACCACAACAACCATCACATACAAAATCTTGGTCCGATGATACAATAACAGTACCTGCAGCACAAATAAAAAAATCAGAACAACATAGTGAAACATGGGATACATCAACATCTGATGATGATAATATTGTTACATCTAAACCACAACATGTATCAAATATTCTACAAAAAACACTTCCTTTTTCACCATCAAAAGATGATGCAATCGAATCTGATAGTGATAATAATTCAGTTGATACTGAAATTCAAAAATTTGACATAAATAAACCATCAAATGAAACAACAATACAAAAATTAGTTAATAATAAAATTGGAAATGGTTATAGAGTTATTGGACTAACGGAAATTCACTCACCTGTAAGTGAAGATTCTTCATGGACAACAACATCTGCAAAAATTAATAAAGAATCAATAAAAAATACAAAAGGTATTACAAATTTAATACAACAAATGAAAACAGATGAATCAACATGGGATGATTCTCATGTATTAAGTCATAGTTTAAAACAATCAAAAGACTTATCTAAAGTACAAATAAAAGAAATTGATAATTTAATACAACAAATGAAAACAGATGAATCAACATGGGATGATTCTCATCAATTAAGTCACAGTTTAAAACAATCAAAAGGTATTGAAAATCTTGTAAAAATTATGGATACAATTGTACAAACAAAACCATCAAAACAGTAAATATAAAAATAGATTAATATATTTAACATGTGATCAGAAAGTTTTTAGACAAAATTTCCTTTGGAGTCATTAGAAAGTATTTTCCGATGATTAAAATAGATTATACAAAAATTGCGCACGGAACTAAAGATGATAGTTTGAAAATAAAATGGACCCTGTCAACTTCACCATACCCATACTTATCTTCATTCAGCACCGTCAGAACTGCTGGGGCGTGTCTTTCAAGATCCCGGTGAAATAACCTATGAAAAGGTGAAAAAGTTAGTGTAGATGTAACTTTTATGAGCTAGACATGCACAAGTTCCAGTAACTGGTACTCATTTAGTTGGTTCAGTAGTATTTGATTTTTTTTCCAAGTCAGACTTGTTTTGAAAGACGAACGTTTCTCTACAAAATGTAGTATTGAGCTAACGAGAGAATGTGCTCTGATGAGTAAGTACTTTTGAACCTATATTGTGGCCAGCCATCGAGGATCAATAGACTAGAATACCCTTAAAAGGATTCGTACGGATGTGAAGATTTAACTGAGATGTTGACTTTTTAGTGGATTTGAGAATGAAAACTTTGTCCAGATGAAGGAGCCAAGCTGTTTAGCATTGATGCTGTGTAAAACATGCATATTTCGGAAGTTGTATATCTCAGAGGCATTCGATCGAAAACTTCTGAAATTTTGTGCATAAGCTAGTCTCACTGCAACCTTCATCGAGATAATGCTTTTAGATAAGAACTCGACAATAGAATTTTTATCGAAAAATTAGATTTATGCAGGAGACATTCACTAAAAAGCCAATATCTTGGTCAAATCTTAAGGCCAGGACAAACTCTTTGAAGTCTGTTGTAATCTATGTGTCCTCTAGTACTGAGCAAAAGATGGGTTCAACAACTTTTAAGCATATTCGAAAAGATCATCCTAACTCATAACTTTTAATTCGTCGGAAATACTTTCTAATTGATGAAAAGTGAGCAAACATCTTGTCTAAAAACTTTCTGAAGATTTATTATTTCTTGTTGTTTTTTTTTATTATCAAAAGACCAACATCATCGAATATAATCGGTAAACTTATTACGACTTCCATGTTTGAACGTGCTGATTCCAGAGCATCTGAAAATACTTTACATGAAGTAGATAATGATGAAGATTATGAACGTAGGAATAGTTTTTTTTTTCTTGTCTTTTATTGTCTATATAAAGTTTTACGTTTTGATTATAGAAAGTTGGAAAAAGAAAAGTGAAGAATTGCCTGTAACATCTATGAAAGATCATAATTCTAAAAAAATCCAACATTCATCATTACCTTATGATATTAATAATTTACAACATGGTTCAATATCATCGACAAAATCATCGTTTAGTGAGGTATAAATTATTGTTTTTTTTTTTTTGTTTGGAATAAAAAACAAAAAGTCACAATTTTATTTTAGATACAAATAAATGAATTAAAAGAAAATATAAAAAAACTTGAACCTAATCAAGAAGATACACAAGAATTAAAACGACAATTAAAAGATATGGAAAATAAAAAGAATAATTTCGAAAAATTATATAAAGAAAATAATCAAATGTTACGTCAAATTGAAAATAAATTAGAACAAGAAAAAAATGAAAAACAACGTCTAGAATGGACTACAAAAAATTTAAATATTGATTTACAAAATATTAAACAAAAACTTCAATTATTAGAAGATGAAAAAGATTTATTAAATCAACGTTGTAATAAATTAAAAGAAGAACGAGATAATCATGGTAAATATTCAATTAAACTCTAACAGAAAAAATAAAAAAATAATTTTTTTCAACACTAGGAAAAACATTATATAGATAAAATTTCTTTGAATATTTCAAAATCAATATTATTTATAGAACTATTTTGAAATTAAATAAATAATTCTTTCTTATTTCTATTTAGATGAAAAATTACGTATGTTACATACAAATAATTTACAAACATCAAATAAAAATTCCTATCATGATGATGATATTGATAAAATACAAAGTCGACATCGTGAAGAATTAAAATTATTATCAGCTGAAAATGATGATTTACATTATCGTACAAAACAATTAGAATCAGATTTAGAATTACATAAAGAATCACTTGATGTAACTGTACGTTATAAAATTGATCTTGAAAAAGCTTTAGAAGAAAAAACATTTTACCAACATGAATTAGATCGTTTAAAACATGAAAAAGATCTTATTGAACAAGAAAAACTTGAATATAAAACTAAATATGATAGTTTACAAGATGAAATACGTCTTATACTTTTGGATCGTTCAAAACTTGAACAAAAATTAACAAGTGAATTACAAGAACATATGCAAGAAAAACAACGATCAACAGATGATAAACAAAAATATCGAATAGAAATTGAACAATTAAATATTAAATTAAATGATGCTGAAGCACGTTTACGTGGATTACAAACACATAATGAAGCATTATTAGTATCAAAAGATCGTGATATTAAAAATGAATTTGAATCACTGTCACATCGTCTTAATCAAATTGAATCAAATAAATTAAATGCTGAACAACGTTATCATAATCAACATAATGAAATCACAAATAAACAACAACAACAAGTTCTAAATGAACCATCTATTACTCATGCGTCAACAACAATATCAAATAATCATACACATGATCAACATTCACAGTAAGAATCATTCTAAATAATGCAATAGAAAAAAAAAAGACCAAAAAGATTCATCTAATATAAACAGAGATGAAATACTAAATTTTGAAAAATATTTATTCGAAAATTACATAGATAAATTTTTTTAATGAAACTCTTGATTGGATTTATGACTAGAGGTGTAAGCCATCCAGCTGCGCCGCCGCCGCCGTCACGGAATCGGAGATAGTTTTACGAATTTTTTAGCCATTGCCGCTGTGAAAAAGTTAGTTCAGCCGTTGCGCCGCCGCCGGTGTAGAAAAACATGAAGACTAGTAGGCGCCGCCGCCGCCGTTTGATCCTTCGGTTGACACCTCTATTTGTGACAGTTCGTGATCGAAAAACTCAATTGGTATCAATTATTTTATTCTTTTCAAAAGGATTGAACTGTTCAAACAGATCATTTCTAGATCACGACGTATTCATACTCTATTTTGTTAGAAGATGGCAACACTTTTTCCTATAGTTTAAGTTTTTTAAGAAATATTGTTATACCGTCGTCTTTAATAAATAATCAAACTCGAAGCCAGATTATATGGTTGGTACAAGTGGCATGAGTGCGCTCACATTCATACAAAAGTACAATTTTTGACTGATGTCTAACACTTTTCTAAGTGTTGCAAGAATGTTCATGCAATGAAATATAAAAATAAATCACGCAGAAGAATCGTGGTTTATCGGCAGTTTTTGAATGGTTTGCACGACATCAGGTTCTATTTTGACAACTAGAACAGTGGTTAAATAGAATTCCTACATTATCATTATCAGTAAACATAGTTCATTTGAAAAGGAAAAATACCCCTGTCTTTAGGCAACCTTGTAGTATAGGGTACTGTCTAACGGGACATCTATTAGTCCGATATCTATTCTATAACTAACACTAGCTGTAGTTTTAGACAGAAGGCCGGTCTAATGCAGAGTTCTTGCGCTCAATCCGTTGAGCTACACGCACATACCCTGACTACTAGCTTTCATGATAAATATTCAAAAGGCATGAACAAGGTCTCTTCGAGATATGAAACTTTCAAGATATAGATTCTATTCCACGTGTAATAAATACAACATGCATTTTTTGAAAGCTTCTTATCTCTCAGAGACTTTGTTTCAACGTTTCGGCATTTTTCTAAAGAAATTAGCCTAGTTGAGTTCTCTATATACGCAAATTTTGAGATCAAACTTCGAGAATACAGATTTTACAATATCCCGGGAGCTTATAAAGGCCTCTAGAAAATAGACATATGAAAAACTCGATAGCTTATAAGGGAACTCATCTAACTGGTAATGTCTGTTTGCATTCATATTTAAAACTCATAGTGTAGATAAAAATTCTGCAAGAGATCATGCCATGAGGTCTTTCTTCCCGAGCTATGGTCATTTTACTACACTACGAGTCCTACCTATAAGTAAAATATGCGCTCAAACGGAGATTCTCAGTCGGATGGGCTCTCTTGTTAATCAAATCTCAATTGGAACCGAAATCCTTTTCGAATTTTTATTAGAACACTATGAACGATCTCTAGGCAAAAGAATCAAAAAAAAAAGTACATCTAAGGAAGTACTCCGATTAGCGTAAATATGTATCTTCGTAATTGTGCACTAATTCTTACTTGATTTTATTTTCATCATAATCAATTTCTAATTATCCGAAATATAAAGAAAAAAGAGAAATTTCATATTTAGTTCTTCATCATGTAAAAATTGTAATGCAGTTCAACGAAGTTATGAACAAGAACGTGAATATCGTTTACAAACTGAAAAAGATAATGAACGTTTACGTCATAGTTTTTCCCATCAAAAACAATATCAATATTTCAATAAAACATTTCCATTACAACAACAAAATAATGAAAATTATTTAATTGAAAATTCAAGAAAAATTCGTTCCGATACAGAACGTGTTAAATCTGAACTTAATCGTTTACGTGAAGATTTTGATAAATTAGTTTCAAATTATGAACCAATAAATAATTTTCAACAACAAGTACATTTACGTTCACAAATTGATACATTTCGTCAATTTTATGAAAATGAATTTCAACAACGACAATTACTTATGTCAAAATTAACTCCTGAACTTAAATCATCATTAACACAAAATTATCATCAATTATCATCACCACATTTAAATCATAATCATTCATTTAATGAAACTTGTACAACATGTACAAATAGTCGTTTACTTAGAGAACGACTTGATACTGCTATTGATACAAGTTTAGCTGATCAACGTTTACAAAAAATAAAACAAATTCCTTCTATACCACGACAAGCTTCATCATTATTAACAATAAATACTCTTAATCATGGTATGTTATCATCTATTGAACTTTTACGTGAACGTTATTATGTTTGAATTTTACAATAACAAACAGTGAATTTTTTTTTTTTTTTTTTTTTATCTTTTTCTGTTTTTTTTTCTTCCGTATGTATCTAAGTGATAGTGTTTGTGTTTTGTTTTTTTTTCTTTTAATACATGAAGGTGCTTTGTTTTGTTTTTCTCTCACTGATTTAAAATAAACAATTATATTCTTTCAGATCTAATAATGGATGGTGCTGGTAGTATTACATTTTGGGGTTATAGTCCTAGTCTTTGTTTAACAAAATATATTGATAAACAATCAGAAGAATTACCTATTCGACTTTTATTAATTGGTAATGGAGATATTCGTCATATATTTCATACATTAGCATTAACAACATCACCAATACATATATATATTCTTGAATCTCAATTAGAAATTTATGCACGTCATTTACTTTTTCTTCAATTAATATTTACATCAATTAATCAAATAGGTTTACAAGAAAAATGTGAACATTATCTTGAATTATTTGCTAATTTACATATTAATACACATACAGAACAATATTTAAAAGAAGCAGCTACTCAACTTATTCAACATATAACAAATATAAATGGAGAATTTCAATTTGCATCTAATATAACAATTGATACAACATTATTAAAATATAAAGAAAAAGATTTTCTTGAAGGTATATTTCAATTTTGGCGAGCATCATCTACTAAGCAACCATTTCCAGCTGAATTAGCTTGGGATGGTCGTGTTCGACAATATTTAGGTATGTACAGTAAAAAACAAAATACAAACAGTTTACTACACCATATTCCTCCTAATTTAAATCAAACAAAAAAGTATTTTATACAGTACTTCTTCGTACTTTACAGGAGGTTACAGTGCAAAACTTTTTATAGTAGTATACTGTACGATGTACGATACAGTAGTTTAGAGTGCAAAGTATTCTATCGTAGTTTACGGTACAAAGTATTGTACATAGTCTATGGTGCGAAGTACTCTTTATAGTTTAGAGTGCAAAATACTGTATACAGTTTAAGGTACGAAGTTTTGTGCAATAATTCACGATGTGAAATGCTGGGCATTAGTTTACGGTGTGAAGTAGTATAGAAATAGTTTACTGTATGATGCACTGTACAACTGAGCGATAAATATCAAGAAACTATCGTGAATATACTGATTGGTTTAATGTGCACTATGCTAGGTGTGGATGTATGAAAGTACTGCATTATGATATATTCTATCAAAATAGATGAATATTTTTTAAGGCGGCCCCCCCCCCCCCCCCCCCCGCCCCCTTCTTTTTCTGTTCGTCAACTCCAGTTGTGTTCGTGTAGCGTTGCATGGGGCTGCGAGGCTTC